CACACATAGACAATGTAACATAAGTGAACACTATTTACAAGGGGTATTTTGGGAAAAGATTTTAGCTGTCCATTAATGACAATGAGATGTTTTGTAACCGTCCATTAATGACAATGAGATATTTTGTAACGGCCCATTAATAACAATGTAACTATCTACAAATTAATCTCGTCATCGAATCAAAACCAACAGCAACATCACCGACACCAAATTCTTCTACAGTTCTTTTTGTTAATGGTTTATATGTGAACAAATATTCGATATTTATGGGAATTGTTCGTGTGAACAGGGGTGTATATGGAAAAAAGTCGTAAATGGCACAAGTGTGCATATACGTCAATCTGTGTTTGTATTTGACACAAGGGTTGATATATGTCAATTTGTGTTTGTAATTGACACAAGGGTTCATCTATGTTGAGTTGTGTTCATATGGTTGTACGGATGTTTATATGTGTGAATTTATGTTCATATGGTTACACATGTTCATCATCTTTCGTATGGTTATTTGTGTCAATATGTGTTCATATTTATACCAACTGTACATATATGTCAATTTGTGTTCGTAATTGACACAAGGGTTCATATATGTCAATTTGTGTTCGTAATTGACACAAGGGTTCATATATGTCAATTTGTGTTCGTAATTGACACAATGGTTCATATATGTCGAGTTGTGTACATATGGTTGTACGAATGTTCATATATGTGAATTTGTGTTCATATGGTCACACATGTTAATCATCTTTCGTTTGTTCATTTGGGTTAATATATGTTCATATTTATACCAACTATACATATAGGTCAATCTGTTTTCGTAATTGACACAAGTGTTAATATATGTCAATTTGTGTTCTTAATTGACACAATGGTTCATATATGTCGAGTTGTGTTTATATGGTATACGAATGTTCTCATATGTGAATTTGTGTTCATATGGTCACACATGTTCATCATCTTTCGTATATGTCAATTTGAACGATACCGAAAACTTTACTACCGGGTCTCCTCCACCAATCACAAATTCATAAACATTAGAGATAGAAAATTAATATTAAAAAAATAACAAGATTAACAATAAGTTAACACAAAATCATGGAATTTTTATGATTTTGTAACTCTCAATTAATGATATAGAAATTACATTAAAAAAAATTATGTATGTACCCTTGTCATTAAATTATAAGATGTATATGAACCTAATACTAAGATGTATTGTGATTGATTGAAAATAGCTAACAAAGTTAACACAATAATTTTGATTAACATTTGAATCAATCACGCTCTCTCTCTATATATTTGTTTGGACTTGGTTAGATGCTTATTTGGTGAAATTATTAATGTGTATTAATGCTAATTTCGATTACATGTCTGTATTTGAAAAACTTTATCAATTACATGCTTATATTTCATAAAATTATTATATTATATTAAATTAAAATTGTATAGCATAAAAGAATATTTTTGCGTACACTTATTCAATTCAATGAAATGTGAGATTATCATAGAAACCGAATACAAAATATTAAAACAAATTTCTCATTAAAAAACCGAAAAATTAAAATTTATATACTCATTTAAATATATTAGAAGGATATTTGTACAATACAGCGGGATACATTGATATAATGTTTTATTTTATTTTTTTATCTCGGTCTATATAATATGGTTTTATGTGATTTTAAGGAAAACGATAATATTTATATTCATAAAAATTTGAAAAAATATATATATTGATATTAGTATTAATCAACTACTAGAATGGTACTCGCGCAATACAGCGAGATAAATCTCCATTTTAATGTTTAATTTTTATTATTTGTCTCTATCGATGTAATATAATTTTATGTGGTTTTGAGAAAGCGATAGTGTTTTTTTAATGAAATATAAATTTGAAGATAACATAAAAAATTTATAAAATTCGGTATTAGTATTAAATTAACTATTTAATAGTTTTCGTTTTTTTGATGTAACTTCTTTAATTCAATTTTTTATTATAATTTAATTGGGGTATAATAACAAAGTAATTTATTTTTGATTTAATAATATAATTTTTATTAAAGATAATAATTAAAAATTCGGTTAGAAAACTCGATAATTATCCTAATTGTATTTTAGATTTTTTATATTTTAAAATGAGATGTTTATCTTCTACTTAATTACGTTTATACGTAGTTAGTTACACGAATTCAAACATGAAACTTTAATAAGTTGTACTTAATGCATAATTTACTTGTAATCTTGAATTTTAAGTACTATGCATCAAGATATAGTACTTTATGCATAAAAAATGATTTTTAAGAATTTTTGTCAAATGCTTTATAATATAGTATAGATTTAAAAATAATCGTTTTTATGTAATTTTTTTGATTTAGTTTTTTTTATTATAATTTAATTTATTTTTGTTTAATAATATAATTTTTATAAGAATAATAATTAAATATTCTGTTATAAGTATAATTCAATAATTATTCTAATTATATTTTAGATTTTTTATATTTAAAATGAGATGTTTATCATGTAGTTGATTATGTTTATATGCAGTTAGTTACACGAATTTAAATATGAAGCTTTAATAAGTTATATTTATGTACAATTTACTTGTAATATTGAATTTTAAGTAATATGCATCAATAAACAGTACTTCATGCATAAAAAATGGTTTCTAAGAGTTTTTCTCAAATATTTTATAATATAGTATATTTAAGTCAATAATTATCCTTATTATATTTTAGATTTTCCATATTTAAAATGAGATTTATTATATAGTTGATCATGTTTATTTACAGTTAGTTACATGAATTCAAACATGAAATTTTAATAAATTGTAATTATACATAATTTACTTATAATATTGAATTTTAAATAATATATACGTAAAAAATGGTTTCTAAGAATTTTTATCAAATGTTTTATAATATAGTATATATATTTATTAATTATTTTACAACAGTTTAAACATGAACTTTAAAGAGAGTACACAAATATAATAATAGATTATAGAAGTTGGATTTTATATATAAAGTAAAGATATGTACAAGGTTAATTTTCAAATTCAGAGAGATCTTTCTTCTTGTTCCTCCCCTTCTTTACCTTCCATATGTTGTTCATCATTGATTGGGCATGAAGTTTTCTATGAGTATATAAATACGGACTCCTCGGTTCCTCTGTCCATCTTCTTCAGCGTTTTGGCTTGTTCGATTTTGTGTTATCATCATCCTCCTCCTTGCTTTACCGGCAAAAACCCTCGCTCTCACACTTTGCTATTCTTCCAATGAGCAGTGATCAACTCTCTCCTATGTACAGGAACAGAGCCTCTTTTGGGATGAAACACCGGTTTTTTGACCAGCCGCACCACCACCGGAGACGAGATCGACCACAAGGTTCACCACTGTCCTGCACCAGCACCACCCATCGTAGACCCAATTTCGTAATCGAACTTCGGGCTCAGAACAAAGATCACAACAGCTATAATCGTCATGAAATCGTATCTTTGATGGGGATATTCAAGTGCGGCCCTGACGATTTTTTTATTTACGAAAAGGGTGAAGTTGCAGCTAGGTTTTTCTACCAGCAGTGGTCTAATGCGCTTGAAACGGTTGTCTATTTGTGGGATGTTTTATTGAACGGAGGTCTCTCCTTTACGCCGAGGCTTGTACGGAACTTGAATGTTCCTTCTGATACGGATGAGTTATATTCGCGGCTTAGGGTTTTGTTTAGCGACCGAATAAGAGAGTTTATGAAAGGGGAGTTGGTGATAAAATGGGAGAGGAAGCTTGAGGAAGTTACCAATGAAATTGCTAAGCTGGATGTGTTGCTAAAGAAGCCCAAGAGAGTATCGATACATAGTGAGTTATATAAGAAGAAGGAAGGGCATGTACGTGAGAGAACTTTGATTGATAGGAGGATTAGAGAGTTTAAGACTGGAATGGAGTGTATTCTTGATTATGTCAATGGGAAGGTGTTTGACACTTGTGTTGTTAAGGTGTTAATGTTGAAAGATAATCTTGATTGGAGCAAGATTTACTGGTTGATGAAGAGGGAATGCAGGAGACTTGATGATGGGTTGCCTATATATGCTGATCGGAAGGACATTCTTTGGCAGATTTACCGTCAGCAGGTACTTCATACTTCTTTGATGACATCAATTTAAGTTCGTAACTTTAATGTTCTTTCTTATTATGACTGTATATATTGACCTTTTCAATTTCACTTCCATAATTTTACCAACTAGTGTTTTCCAAGGTTGAATTTATGAACATGAACTTCGTCATGGAACCATATTCTTGTAACCATTCTTTACTAGAAACTCTAGTAGCATGTGACAACTTGACTACATTGGTTATTAGGAGTCTCTTTATAAGTCTTTAGTAATGGACTATTAATAAATTTCATCATGGTTTTAAGTTGATTTCATGCTTATGTAGTAAAAAAGCAGGAAATTTTCTAATCTGTTGATGAGTTTCTTCATGATTGATGTAACTCTATTTTGTTGGACTTGCCATGATGGATTTGTGACATAAAAAGGATTTTGAATCATATACAAGGATACACAAACACATGTGGGACAATTGTATAGTATAAAGCGCAACCTGGTGGGTCCTACACATATTCTACAAACACTATTTGTTATCAGGAATTCTGCTAATTTGCATATTTTGTTTGTTCATCTTGCAGATAATGGTGTTGATTGGAGAGACTGGTTCGGGAAAAAGTACACAGCTGGTTCAGTTCCTTACTGATTCAGGAGTGGCTGCTAACAAGTCTATAGTTTGCACTCAGCCTCGCAAGCTTGCTGCCATGTCATTGGCAAATAGGGTTCAGGAAGAAAGCCGTGGTTGCTGCCAGGATAATTCAGTTATTTGTTCTTCAACATACTCATCTTTTCAGCCATTTAACTCGAAGGTGGTATATATGACAGATCACTGCTTACTTCAGCACTACATGAATGATACCAATTTTTCGTGGATTTCTTGCATCATTGTTGATGAGGCTCATGAAAGAAGCCTAAACACCGATCTTCTTTTAGCATTGGTTAAGAAGTTACTTCATCGGAGGTCTGATCTGAAGCTTATTATAATGTCTGCAACAGCTGATGCAGAACAGTTGGCGAAATATTTTGATGGCTGTGGTACGTATCATGTGGTGGGTAGAACTTTCCCAGTTGATATTAGATACGATCCTGGTATATCCGATGCTTCTTGTGATTCTCGTTTTGTTGCACCTTATGTTACTGATTTGATGAGGAGGGTGGGGGAGATCCATAGAATGGAGGGAGAAGGGACGATCCTTGCTTTCTTGACTTCTCAAATGGAGGTAGAATGGGCTTGTGAACAGTTTAAAGCTCCATCAGCTATTGCATTGCCTTTGCATGGAAAATTGTCTCATGAGGAGCAATACCGTGTGTATCTGAATTATCCCGAGAAGAGAAAAGTCATATTTTCTACTAATCTTGCTGAGACATCGCTAACAATACCGGGAGTCAAGTTTGTAGTTGATTCTGGCATGGTTAAGGAGAGTAGGTTTGAACCCAGCACTGGCATGAATGTTCTTAGAATTTGCAGGATTAGCAAAAGTTCTGCTAATCAACGTGCTGGGCGTGCTGGAAGAACTGAGCCCGGAAAGTGTTATAGGCTCTATGGAGAGAGCGATTTCAGATCTATGCCTGCTCATCAGGAACCTGAAATACGTAGGGTTAATCTTGGTATTGCAGTCCTCAGGATTCTAGCTCTGGGTATTCATGACATCGAGGGTTTTGATTTCATTGATGCGCCTAGCAATTCAGCTATCCAGACTGCAATCAGGAGTCTTATCCAGTTGGGTGCCGTTAAACTGGAAAATGGTGTTTACAAGTTAACCAAAGATGGTAGGAATATGGTGAAGCTAGCAATCGAGCCTAGGCTTGGTAAAATGATTTTGAAAAGTTTTGAAAACAGGTTGGGCAGGGAGGGGGTTGTTCTTGCTGCGGTTATGGCAAATTCTAGCAGCATATTTTGCAGAGTTGGCAAAGAGGAAGACAAGCAAAAATCCGATTGCCTGAAGGTGCAATTCTGTCATCGCAATGGCGATTTATTCACTTTGCTGGCTGTTTACCGGAAATGGGAGCAAGTTCCTAGTGATAAGAGAAATCAATGGTGTTGGGATAATAGCATAAATGCAAAATCCATGCGCAGATGCCAAGAAGCAGTGCACGAAATGGAAAGTTGTCTTGAACACGAGCTTAATATCATTATCCCCACTTACTGGCATTGGACTCCAGAAGTGTATGCTGAATCTGATAAAATTTTAAAAAATGTCATACTCTCTGCTTTAGCCGAAAACGTAGCAATGTACACTGGAAACGACAGTCTCGGTTATGAAGTGGCGTCAACAGGAAGTTGCGTTCAGTTGCATCCTGCATGTTCTTTACTCATCTTTGGTGAAAGACCAAGTTGGGTGGTCTTTGGGGAAATTATTGCAATGCCCAATCAGTACTTGGTCTGTGTTACTTCCATTGACTTTGAGTCATTGCATACTCTTTCCCCCCTTCCATTTGATATTTCACAGATCAACAGTCGGAAACTGCAATCAAAGGTTTTAACAGGTTTCGGAAGTACATTACTGAAAAAGTTTTGTGGGAAATCCAACTCTGGCATGAAACAACTTCTTTCCCACATCAAGGATGCCATCAAAGATAACCGAATTGGGCTTGAAGTTTCTTTTGATCATAATGAAGTTAACTTATTTGCATCATCCGAACACATGGGACAGGTCTCTGATTTTTGTTTTAAAACATTATATATATATATATATACATACAGCAAATGAAACAAAATAAACTCACATACCCTCTTCATTTTTGGCAGGTCTCTGATTTTGTAAATGCTGCATTGGAGCGTGATGGAAAGTGGTTACGGAATGAATGCCTGGAGAAATGTCTGTACCCCGACAGGCATACATTGCCTCCTGTAGCTCTTGTTGGTGCTGGTGCTGAAATAAAGCATCTGGAACTGGAAAGAAGATGTCTTACGGTTGATATATTTCTTAATGGTCCAAATGATGTTGAAGAGAAGGAACTTCTCTCTTTTTTGGAGAACCATACAGCTGGCAACATTTGTGGCTTTCATAAGTTTGGTGGGACCAGTCAAGATACCGATAAAAATGAAAAGTGGGGCCGGGTAACGTTTCTTACATCCGATGCTGCTGAGAGAGCTACAAAATTGAGTCAATTTGACTTCAAAGGCGCGTCTCTGAGAGTTGTTCCGTCAAGAAACACATTTGGTGGAGAAAGCAAATTTTCATCATTTCCTGCTGTCAAAGCAAAAGTGTCGTGGCCCCGCAGGCCCAATAGGGGATACGCTTTCGTTAAGTGTGGAAGTGGAGATGATGCTTTGGCCATGGTTAAGGACTTTTCAGATGTGGTAATCGGGGGGAAGCCTATACGCTGCAAACAGAGCATGAAGGATGTGGACAGTGTTATGTTGACTGGAATCGACTTAGATATATTTGAAACCGAGCTTTTTGATGCATTAAGTTCTTTAACCAGTAGGAAAATTGTGGATGTGAGCCTTCCCAGAGGCAACGCCGCAGAACAACCCTCAGTTATCAATCTTGAAGAAGCACTTTTGAGAGAAATCAGTTCATTCATGCCTGGAGGGAATTCCAAAAATGAATGTGTTCGTGTTCATATCTTCCCTCCCGAAAAATTTGATTACTTAATGAAAGCTGAAATTAGTTTCGATGGAAGTTTGCATTTGGAGGCGGCAAGAGCTTTGGAACAGATCGATGGGAAAACATTGCCCGGATGTTTAGCATGGCAGAAGATAAAATGTCAGCAGCAGTTTCATAGCAGTGTTTTCTGCCCTGCACCTGTTTATATGGTTATCAAGGAGCAATTGCATTCTTTACTCAGAAACCTCAAGCTTCGGAAAGGTATTTTCTTTTCGTGTTCTTTTTGTCTTTTTTTCTTTCTGAATATAGAACGGAGCAATGTAGCATTGTTTTATAATCATTATTATTTCTTTTTTGTAGTAGCCGAGTTCTTTTTTGAACGGAACGAGAATGGTTCAGTTCGTGTCAAAATATCTGCAAAAGCTACGAAAATAATGGCAGAGTCGAGGAGGCCTTTGGAGCAACTTATGAACGGAAGGACCATAATTGATGCTCGCCTCACTCCACCAGTTTTACAACTTACCTTTTCACGAGAAGGATTCAGTGTTCAGAAATCTATTCAACGTGAAACAGGTACTTTTTTCCTCTTCGACAGGCATAACCATAGCTTCAGAGTTTTTGGTCCGTTAAATAAGCTCGATATTGCACATCAGAGATTGGTTCAGTCCCTTGTTGCACTTTATGAAAGCAAGCAACTTGATGTTCATCTTAGAGGAGCCACTTTCCCACCTGATCTAATGAAGAAGGTGGTCGAAAAGTTTGGGCCCAATCTTCACGGGCTCAAGGAAAGATTCCCTGGATCAGAGTTCACGCTGAACACTCGGCATCATATCATAGCCATTCGTGGTAGTAAAGAATTGAAGCAAAACGTTGAAGAAATGATAAATGAGATCGCAAAGAGCAGTGCTTATCCTAGTAAAAAAGTGGAAGGTCAGACTGCCTCCTGTCCCATATGTCTGTGTGACGTCGAGGATGGTTACACCCTCGAAGGGTGTAACCACGAGTTCTGCCGGATGTGTTTAGTGGATCAATGCGAATCCGCCATCAAGAGCCACGATGGTTTTCCAATGCGGTGTGCCCACGAGGGTTGTAACGCGATGATTTTACTGGTGGACCTCAAATCGCTATTATTAGCAGAGAAAATGGACGAACTTTTCAAAGCATCTTTGGGGCATTTTGTGGGATGTAGCGGTGGGAAGTATCGGTTTTGCCCGTCACCCGACTGTCCATCGATTTACGCGGTGGCAGAAGACGGGGATTCTGGGCGGCCGTTTACATGTGGGGCATGTTCTGTGGAAACGTGTACTCGATGCCACCTGGAGTACCATCCGTTTCTGACGTGTGAAAGATATATGGAGTTTAAGCGGGACCCAGATTCGTCGTTGAAAGAGTGGATGAAGGGGAAGGAAGAGGTGAAGAAATGTCCGGTTTGTGGGTGGACGATCGAGAAGTTTGATGGGTGCAACCATGTGGAGTGCAGGTGCGGGCGACACATTTGCTGGGTGTGCCTTGAGCATTATAAGAGCAGTGAAGAGTGCTATGGCCATTTGAGGAACATACATGGTGCAATCGTTTAAACTTTATTATGCTTTACTTTCTTTCTTTTTATTGCATGCACATATAAATAGATATGTAAATAGGTGTAAATAGTTTGGTCATCCTATCCTTGGTGCAATAATAGCAGCTTCTATCTTCCTTCTTGCTGTGTTTGTTTTTTTCTTTTTCAAACTCAAACTTGACATCAACCTAGAAATCAGTCAGGTCTGACCGGTTATCGTAGCGGGGTTGGTTCTTGACCCTTTTTCACAAATAGAACATAAGCGGTTCCTAAGGCTTGTTGGTCCTTTTATCTTTATCTTTATCTTTATCTTTATCCTTATAATTATATATGTTGTATATATATATATATACACACACACAGTGTGAATAAAAAGTTTTTTCTCCCATGTCGTGCTCGTCTCCTCTCCTTGGCCAGAAGAATTGGTACAGCTTCTACTCACGGGTAGATTGAGAAATTTTGCTTCTGCCCCCAGAGATGAAGGTAACAATATCTGCATTTACTTGCAAAGTGTTTTTTCTATATGTATTGAGCAGCAGTAAATATAGTGGGTAAGATAGAAATTATGGTGATGTTTTAAAAGAGTAGTAGTTGCTAGCAAAGCAGATGGTATCTTTTTCCTGCTATTTAACACACAGAAATTCTACAAATATTTTTATTTTATGCAGATGTTTTTTCTCTTGAGGATATACAATGGAATGGGGGCATAGGATAGGAAACAAGGGTCCTGGTGATGATGCTTTCTAGCAAAGGAGGTAATAACAACCACCTGGATTTATGATATATTCATCTACTTAATTGTTTTTTCCTGTGATAATTTGAATTAGTTGCAAGTTAGTTCCTAATTTTATTGTCTACTTGTATGACTAAAACACATATTTATCTTGAATCTCCCTGGTTTCTTTTCTTTTTTTTATCTCAAATACACACCATAGAAAATGACTCCCATCTTTTAGTCATGATTCACACATTTGCATCTAATTTCTACTCTTGTGCTTTGGTTAATACAGTGGAAATTCCCTTCCAGTGGAGACTTTTCAGGGAGCTTTTCTGATAACTGATTACAATTATAGTGTGCATATATATATACATAGAGTAACTAAATAAGAGAACACGAAAATGGCCGAATCACATGTGATTTTATACTAGGATCACATGTGATTGCAACTTTGGCCGCGACCTGAGGTCATGGGCCAAGTTGTCCGCTCACCCTGGCATTGACCGTATTCTATGATCGCATGTAAAATCACATATGATGTGGCCGTTTTATTGTTCTCTTATTTAGTTACTGTTCTCGTAAGAACCTATGTGTGTGCGTGCGTGCGTGTATATGGCAACATGAATACTCACAATCATAGGTGATTTGATTTACATAGAAACCATGGATTTTGTTTTAGCTAAAGTTAAGTCTTGTGAAGCAACTTAGAATGAACATGTCCAATGGTAGGTTCTTGTAATAAAAAAAATGTAGCTCTTACAAGTCATCACTGGAAAGTCAGCCAACCATATTCTTTCGGTTCTTGTTTGAAATTTATTTTATTAGTCCTTTAATCGATTTAAAAAGACATATAATAAAAATTAATGATGAAAAAAGTACATGAGACTCAAAAAACAGGTTCTTGTAAGTAACTCCATTGTGGGGTTTTGTGGAGCTTCTTAATTTGGTGGGTTGGTAGTGATGTGACAAAAAAAATTCCAAAAAAAAACAGGTTCTTGTAAGTCGTTCCATCGGAGATGCCCTTAGACAAAGTTAGTTTCCGACAGGTTGAAGCAATGCTGATAACATGGCTATAAGGTAAACTTTTCCGGCATTTGACATATCCATTGTTGACGAAAAAACATATTTTCATCACGGTATCTGTTTACATTTGAATCTTTGTTGTCACAACACGTCTCACATGGATAGAAAAGTGAGCTCTATGTAAATTCAAAGTTGTAGACTAACGATAACTTCTACCACAATTTTAAGTTGATTTGAAGGTTATTATATCAACATGCTACTTAGGGTTTGGAGCATGATGCTTGTATTATGGAGATGGTTAATATTATTATCTTGGTGCAATAAAAATAAAATTCTGAAATTAGATATTTGAATTATACATATGACTACCAACACCATCCATGTTTTAACTAGCTTTCATCCATTTTAGACCTTGATGATCTTTTACTGCAAATATGAGCATATATATGTTTTTCAGTAAGAATATTATCTTACCATTGGTCTGGTAGTATCTGGTAACCTCACCTCGGAGGTCAGAGGTTCAAGTTTTTATTAAAAATGGGAAGTACGTATGAGTTTAATTTATCGTATATAAATATTATATACTTAAAAAAAGAATAACATCATATTAGAAACGTTTCTAGATTAGAAGAGGATGAAGTTGCTACTAAGAAGTTCAAACTTTGGATTTGCTGCAGCCAGTGAGCTTAACAGTCAAGCCAAAGGGTTATTGATAGGGATGTAAACAAACCAAACGAACACGAACGGAGGCTTGTTTATGTTTGTTTGTTTAACTTAACCGAACAGTAAACGAACGAAAATCGTTTAGAAATCAGGTGTGTTCGTGTTCGTTCGTTAACATGCTAAATGAATAGGTCAAACGAACATAAATAAATATTATTTGAATTCAAAGTAAATAAACAAAAGATTGTATATTAAATTTAATATATAAACAATATAAACGAACGGTAAATGAACGAATGTTCACAAACATAAATGAACGAACGAGACTCTTGTTCATGTTCGTTCGTTTAACTAGTCAAACACAAAAATATATTCATGTTCGTTCATTTATCAAATAAACGAATATAAACGAACTTCCAGAATGATTCACGAACATTCGTTGAACGTTCAATTCGTTTACAGCCCTAATCATTGATCTAGGGTCGTTTGTACCTACTTGTAGGTCGAGGGTTCAAGTTTTATTAAATCTTGAAAGTGTGTATGAGTTATCTTGTTTATACTTGCAAAAGAAAATATATAACATTTGGTTAGATTTTCAAATTTAAATAGCATACACAAGATCTGTAACCTTTTTTGGGTTTTTGGTACGACCCAATAAATCTTGTCCGTTGGTTTCAACTGTTTGGTCCATTTATATCTTTATAAAATTTATATATGATTAACACTTCTTTAGTAAATTATGTTTTTCTTCTCTATGGTTTGTTAAAAAGTATGATTTTCGTCTCTATAATTTAGAAATTGCAGTTTTCGTTTTTATGGTTTGTAATTTATTGTTGTTTTCGTTCGTGAATTAATTCTTACATTTTTAAATACAAGTGATCAAAATAGTAAATAACTTTAAACCAAAATGACTGAAACAACAATAAATTATAAATCATAAGAATGAAAATAACAATAATTTACAAATTATAAAGATGAAAATATAATATCTACACCACAAGTAGGGGTGCTCACGGCCCGGGTTGATCGGTTTGGAGCCGTTTTAACAACTGAACCCAATGTTGGCGGTTTGAAAATTTTCAACCCAACCCAATCCAAACAAAAGTTCAACCCAACCCAACCCGTTCGGGTTGATCGGGTTGTGTTTAAACAATATAAAATCACATAAAAATAAAGAAAACTTTTCTTTGAAATACGACCGACCATTCAAGATAAAATACAAATTCATCAAATATTTAGATATTACAATAAAAATGTTTAAACCAAATGATAATACATCAATCAACAACAATAGTTTTAGACGTTTCCAACCCCGATGTTTTCGCTTTCTTGACGTTGAGGTTGGTCATGTCATGATTGTCATCTACAATTCAAAGCTAAAGTTAAGGTCGGGTTGTCGGGTTGGTCGGGTTTTTTTGGGCCTGACCCGATTTCAACCCAATAAGGTCGAGTTGGCTAATTTTTTTATCTATCATGCATCGGGTTACCTCGGGTTGGGTTTTTTTTTTAAAAATTCGGGTTAGGTTTCTCGGGTTCATCGGGTTTTTGAGCTCCCCTAACCACTAGGATGAAAAGTGTAATTTTTAACAAACAAGATGTACCCAAAACTTAATTTACTCATCTTTTCATTACAAAAAAATTAAAAAGCCGATTTGGCCATCTTTGGTTTAGATTCGTAGCTGTCTCCTAATATTATATTATATTAAAGAGTAAATTACATTTTTCTTGTTTATGGTTTGTTAAAAGTTGCGATATTGGTTTAAAAATTATAGTTTTTGTCCATATAATTTGTAATTCATTGTTATTTTTGTATTTAGGTCATGTTTAATTTGTAGGATTGTAATAAATTTGGAAGGATTTGGTATTGAATTTTATTCCAATCTCATGTTTAGTTTGAAGGATTTTATTGAAATCCCATAAACATATGATTTGGAAATCTCATGGAGGTGGTTGGTGTTTCATGGGATTATAACGTTTCAAACTTTGTTAAAAACATTAATTTTGTAATAATCAATTAATAATAAAATGGGTAATTTATTTAATTTATAATTTTTTGTATTTTGTTTCTTATAAATAATAGAATGCAAATTCTATAAACTAAACGCACAAAGATTCCAAATCCAAATTCCTTCAATTTCAAATCCTTTTACGAATTCTAAATCACTTAAAACCATTCATTCCATCAAGTTAAATGCCCTTTTAAAGAAAGGAATTAGTTCATGGACGAAAATAGCAATAAATTGTAAACGAATGGATGAAAATTGCAATTTCTAAACTACAAAAATGAAAATCGATATTATTAGGACGAAACTCATAATTTACTCTATTTTAAAGTGTAAAAAGTTATTTCTGAATCTTTTTACTTAGGGGGCCGTTTACCCAATTGTTTACTCGGTAAGCACTTACCGATAGAAGTCAACATTATAATTTATTTTGATGCGTAAGATTTTAGTATATATTAAAACATATCGAATGCAACAATTTAGTGGGTAAGTGCTTACCTGAGTAAGAGTTGTCATCCTCACTTACCGGGTAAGACTCTCCATTCTCATCGCTCTTGCCCGGTAAGATTCTTGACCTCTCTCATGTTCATCCGATGAGAAAATTTATCCGATCAAATACTTACCAAGTAAGTATTTAATAAACGGCCCCTTAATATACGAATTTGTATGTGTTTTTTAGTGTCAAATTTATGAATTTGTACGTTTTTTTAATATCAAATATGTTTTAATGTAAAATATCTATATGGGATTAAAAAAGCATATGTTAATGCCGGTCCAAGCCATCCAATGATCACTTCTACTTTCAAGGCGGGTCAACATGGTGAAGATGCAAATTCTTAGGCTTTTTATTTCTTAAGTTTCATGTTTTGTGTTTAATAAATACTTATCACGTAAACGTTTACCGATATCAGTTATCATATTAATTTAGTATAACAAGGAACAATAATCTTATCTGGTAAAAGACATAACAAGTATCTCTCTACACAGTAAGTACTTATGAGGATGAAGACGCTTACTAACAATCCTTTTGATGGCCAAAAATGTTACACGATAAAGTAAGCGAATATGATGTTTTTTTTTTGCTGATAAGCGTTTAACAAATGACACCTTAGACTCTTGTTTTTGAAAGTTTTACTATAAACCAATTGTAGAAGAACCATTTGGTTATTATTTGAAGCGAATGTCGGTTTTTTATTATCAGTTTACTATTAAAAAAATCATCCGTGTTATGAAGATGTAAAGCTAGTCATATAAAATTTGTGTTTCAACTAATCTTATTTTCATATATTTATTTATTTTACCTAACTTATTTTAAAAGCGATCAAATAATGTATTTGTTAATCACTAAAACACAAGAAATGGTGATCGGAAAACGTGAACGTTGCTTGATTTAGAGCTTTGAAGATGATTTAAGTGTCAAAAAAGGTCACCTAGTTATACTCGATAGAAGAACAAAATGGTTCAAAAACCAAAAAAAAAAAATGTCGCAGGGCCTTGAACCAGACTTCGATCACCTGTCTTTTAACCACTTTAGTTTAAAAAATTGTTACGGGTGGTAACTGATCGAGATTCGTTGATAATTCAATAATCTAAAAGATAGCATATACACATATTGTCATCAATTGATAACTCATAAAATCTAAAAAATAAGATGCATGTTGACTTTTTTCTGAAAAAAGGATGACACATCTAACAAAAAATAAAGAAAACAATACAAATATACGTAAACAAGAATCCCACCCGAAAGCATGACCATTCAACAAATTAGGACACGCCCCAACGTTGAGATGGTGAGCCCTAATCCAAATACCTAACACATGTGGGTTAGAAGGATCCAAAATAAACACAAGCTAGAAATGATATAAAACCCTGCGATGACTACTCCTCTCCCTCCTTTGGTAGTAGTCATGGCCATTATTAGAGTCGGGGGCGGATGTAGCATAGAAATGCGGGGATGGGCCTCTATTGAAAAAAAAAAAGAATTCTTAATTACTTAGGTTAGAAATAATTTTTTCTTTAACTTTCTACCGGTCCCTCCCAGTAATTTTCGGCCTGTGCCCCCACCAACCTAAAGAAATACCTTGAAATCAACCAAAAAAACCAAAAAGGTATCTCAAAATCAACAACAAAAACAGGGAAAAAAATCCTTTGAAATCGACAAAAAAAAAAAACTTCAAAATCTCGCGAAATCAACCAAAAAACTTTAAAAATCTCTTGAAATAATGATATTAGGCTAAGAACACACCGACAACTTTGAGGGTCTTTAATCTACCTTAAAGATGCTCCCACTAAACAAAAATCTTGGATCCACACTGATTAGAGATAATATTTTATCTTGGTTGGAAGACTTATAAGCATAGCAAGCCATAGGACGAACGTGTGCTTAAGGATTTTTTGCTTGAACCAAACAAGACCATGACAAGCAATGTCATTTCCTTGAAACCCTTTTAACCGTAAATGGGACTTGATTATTGTTCTTGTCCAACCAACAGATCTAATCACGCATACCATCACGGATAGTGGGTATTCGGATGTTGATGAGATTTGGATTGGAATCTATCCTCCGGGTTGGCTACACCCCTTCGATTTTGTGAAGGAATTCATAGACGGAGCTCTTCCTGTTCAAGCCCGTCATTCGGTTTG